CCACTCGGCACGAGGACTTCCCAGGGGGTCACCCATCCTGGTACTACTCCCTCCCGAGCACGCTTAACTGCAGAGTTCTTATGGGATCTGCTGCCCTCACGGCTTTAAAACGCGTTGTGATAGGGAAGGTATCCACACCCCATATAAGGAATGCTTAGTTCTCTTAACCAGCCGATGTGGGATCAGATCTAACCCACTTTCACCCCCCATTATAGGGTTCGACGTCCCCGTCGAACACATCGACCCGTGCCCTGGATCTGATACCATTTGTAACATCCTCCTCTGGCACGTATCACAATATTGTTCGCTTTGGGCCACTCGGCACGAGGACTTCCTAGGGGGTCACCCAATCCTGGTACTACTCCCGCCCGAGCACGCTTAACTGCAGAGTTCTTATGGGATCTGCTGCCCTTACGGCTTTAAAACGTGTTGTGATAGGGAAGGTATCCACACCCCATATAAGAAATGCTTAGTTCTCCTTCCCAGCCGATGTGGGATCAAATCTAACCCACTTTTGAAAGTGGGTTAGATCTGATCCCACATCGGCTGGGAAGGAGAAGGAAACATTTCCTTATAAAGGGGTGTGCATACCTTCCCTAACACAACGCGTTTTAAAGCCGTGAGGGCAGTAGATCCCATAAGAACTCTACAGTTAAGCGTGCTCGGGTGGGAGTAGTACCAGGATGGGTGACCCCCTGGGAAGTCCTTGTGCCGAGTGGCCAAAGCGGACAATATTGTGATACGTGCCAGAGGGGGATGTTAGAAATGGTATCAGAGCTAGGGCACGGGTCGATGTGTTCGACGGGGACGTCGAACCCTATAATGGGGGGTGAAAGTGGGTTAGATCTGATCCCACATCGGCTTGGAAGGAGAACGAAACATTTCCTTATAAAGGGGTGTGGATACCTTCCTTGTCACAACGCGTTTTAAAGCTGTGAGGGCAGCAGATCTCATAAGAAATTGAGGCGGTATGAATGGACAATGATGTAAATGGTGTCGTTTTGGTAGGTTACGTGTCAATCTTGGGACCGTGCAAATGTGATTTTGGAGGAACAAGAATAAAAAGGTCTTTATATATATATACATATATATATATATATATATATATAGAGAGAGAGAGAGAGAGAGAGGTAGGTTCAAATGTTTCTCACATCTATTGTGTACTAGAATGCACCACTGAGAACTTAGTAATAATTATATGTATATTAAATGATATTCATACTTATAACTCATTTTTATGGAAACTAATTAAATTCGTCATTAATACCAACAATAATATTCTTTCAGAATGAATTCATATGTAGAAGAATGGGAGTGTATTACAGCAGAATGAGAGTGTATTCTAGCAGAATACACTCTCGTTGTTCATATTCTATGCAACTTTATTGTATTTTAAGTGAATTAGTCCTAAAACAAAATACGAACTCAAATATAAAACCCTAGATGCGAAAAAGAATGTTATTACTGACATTAATGACGGATTTAATTTGTTTTCATAAAAAGAGAATTATAATTATGAATATCAATTAATATACATATAATTATGGAAATCATTTAATATCTATATTTATTTAATTAAATAATTATTTAATTTACTAAATTCTTATTGGTGCATTCTAGCACACAATAAATATAAAAAACAAAATAACCTAGCCCTATATATATATATATATATATATATATATATATATATATATATATATATATATATATAATACCAACAATAATATTCTTTCAGAATGAATTCATATGTAGAAGAATGGGAGTGTATTACAGCAAAATGAGAGTGTATTCTAGCAAAATACACTCTCGTTTTTCATATTCCATGCAACTTTATTGTATTTTAAGTGAATTAGTTCTGAAACAAAATACGAATTCAAATATAAAACCCTAGATGCGAATACATTCTGAAAGAATGTTATTGCTGACACTAATGACGGATTTAATTAGTTTTCATAAAAAGAGAATTATAATTATGAATATCAATTAATATACATATAATTATGGAAATCATTTAATATCTATATTTATTTAATTAAATAATTATTTAATTTACTAAATTCCTATTGGTGCATTGTAGCACACAATAAATATAAGAATCAAAATAACCTAGCCATATATATATATATATATATATATATATATATATATATATATATATATATATATATTTGATATAATAATTCGTATACGAAGTTGATATAGTATATTGATTATTTTCAATTATATATATATATATATATATATATATATATATATATATATATATATGTATATATATATTAAAACTGCATAATCTCAATTTTTTGAATTACTTCTACATGTGGGTTACTTATGAATAAAATTAAATATAATATATGGTTTAATATTATTTAGAGTTGTTGTTATTGTTAATTCATTTTCAAAATTTATTATCAAACATTTTTTTTTATGTTAAAGGTAACAATATAATCATTTATATAGAGTTATTTTTAACTATTGTTATTGTAAGTTATTTTAAGCTACTTATTTCAAAACCTTTAACGATTATAAAAATATCTTTAGGAAATATTTTAGTGAATTGATATTACAATTTAGTTTTTTGCATTTAGCACTACAATTTTTCACTTTTCACTATTCACAAAATATTCTTTGGGTTTTTTTTAAGTGGAACTGAAATTTATATTGAAGTTGATCGTATATAGTTATATTTAAATTAACAATTGAAGTATTTTGTCAATACAGTTCAAAAGTTCTAGCTTTAAACTGATATTGGTTTACATACAACAACATATTAAATCTAATAAATTAAGTATAATATGTTAAAAGTTGAAGACATAACTTTATAAGTAGAAGTAAAAATATTATTTTAATATTGAAATTTAGTTTATTATTTATTACACTTTAGGTTTGATACTTATTTAACCTTATAAATCAATTTATAATCATTATTAGAAATACACTACAATTTATCACTTTTAACTATTTACAAAATATTCTTTGGGTTGTTTAAATTAAACTAAATTTTATATTTAAGTTGATCCTGTAAGGTTATATTTAAATTAATAATTTAAGTATTTTATACAAATTGATCAAAAGTTGTAGCTTTAAAATGATAACGGTTTATATACAACATATTAGACTAAATAAATTAAGTATAATATGTTAAAAGTTAAAAACAAACTTTATAAGTAGAAGAAAATATAAATTTTTAATATTGAAATTTAGTTTATATATGATTACACTTTATGTTTGATATTTATTTAACTTTATTAACCAACTTATAATAATTATTAGAAAGAAATTGAAAAGTCATGGGAGTTTCAAATGAATGTGGTTCAAGAAAAAATGCAAGCTTTATAAGTATATAATGATTATAAATACATGTAGTCAAGTACTATATATATATATATATATATATATATATATATATATATATAGGTAGGTTAAAATGTTTTTCACATCTATTGTGTGCTAGAATGCACCAATAGGAATTTAGTATTAATTATATGTATATTAAATGCTATCCATACTTATAACTCATTTATATGGAAACTAATTAAATTCATCATTAATGTCAACAATAATATTCTTTCAGAATAAATTCATATCTAGATGAATGAGAGTGTATTGCAGCAGAATGAGAGTGTATTCTAGTAGAATACACTTTCGTTCTTCATATTCCATACAACTTTATTGTATTCTAAGTAATTGAGTCTTGAAACAAAGTACGAACTTATATATAAAAACCTAGATGTAAATTCATTCTCAAAGAATGTTATTGCTGGCATTAACAACGGATTTAATTAGTTTCCATAAAAAGAGAATTATAATTATTAATATCATTTAATATACATATAATTATGGAAATTATTTAATATCTATAATTATTTAATTTACTAAATTTCTATTGGTACATTCTAGCACACAATAAATGTAAAAAACAAATATATATATATATATATATATATATATATATATATATATATATATATATATATATATATATATATATATATATATATATATATATATATATATAAAATGTTTGTGTGTCTGGTGGGCTAAGTTTTAAAATATAGGTAGACGTTATTTCCGACCAATAGATTTAGAATTATAATTCAATGTTTTATGGTGTTCATATAGCGGCATTTGGCCTAACGCTATCGAGTGTGAAAGTATATGAATTTTTCAAATGTCGTACTTTTTTATGTCACATTAGCACAACAGCACAACGTCACTCCTAATTTCCTCGACTCACTTCATATTTTACTTGGAAAATGCTCACCGCTTAGTTCCTTTATTTTTTTAATATTAATTTTAAATAAATATATAAGAAATTTATTTTATTTATAAAAAACAAGATTAATATAAATAAAAATGGATTGAAAGAAGTATAAAGAGATGGACCGTTTGAGTTCTCGTAAAATTGTCATAAAAGTGATTATAAAAGTGATTTTTTTTAATTTACTTAAAAGTAAATTATGAAGATGTTTTTTTATAAATTTTTTCTTGTGAAGTATCTTAATTTTGAATGATTCATTTTGTTTGTTCACTAAAAAATATGTAAAAAAATATTTCTTACTTTTCTATCAAAATTTTCCTTCTTATTTGATCTTGACTATATATATATATATATATATATATATATATATATATATATATATATATATATATCCTAATTCTAATAAATAAGTAGAACTCGGCCACGTGGCATTCTCCAAGCCCCCCAAAATAGAGTTTTCCCACTCATTTTTTCTTCTATATTTACGTAAATGCCATTAAATCCGGAAATTGAATAAAAGTTCAAACTGATGCAATATATCAGGAAATTTTAGCTGTCAACTGCATTCAAAATATTCATGCATTAATTTTAAATGAATAAAGATTATGGAAATAATTTGAAAAAATATGTTAATGAATAATCAGATTCGAAAATCACGATTAAATTTGAAAGTTTGTTTATTTTGATTGCAAATTCAATATATTGCAATCATTAAATCCCTAAAAATCTACAGTATTTTTCAGCAAACGTAAATATCATTTATACGGTTATTTTGTTTTTACCATTCTGCTCCATAACAATTCTGCTCCATAGAAACCACAACAAACGTATTCTTCTTCATTCTTTGTGATTCTGCAACGCTTCAAGAATTAAATATCAGGTTATTGTATTCAAAAATCAGAATTACAAATATTTCTATTTCCTCCATGTTCTTATTTATCTGTATCTATCATGTTCTCATTGTATGATTTCTATTCTTCTTCTTCTTTTTTGTAATTCTTCTTAATCGTCTACTTCTTCTACCTTTTCAGTTTAAAAGACGAAAAACTAATGAACATTACAAGTTCATTTTCTTTAAAAAAATTAAAAATAGTCTTTTTCGGATGTGCACAGTAACTTTTGTTTTGATGGTATGAAATTTTAAAATTTGTTTGTTTTTATCTAAATACAATCTCAAAAAAATTTAGAATTTAAAAATTTATGAGTATATTACTTCAGTTGTTGTTGTCATGTGTTGATTTTTAATTTTTCTGTTTTACTCATTGTTATGTTATTTGTTAGTGTTAGTATGTTGCAGGGGGGCATTTTCGGTATAATTGTCGTTTTCATGTTTATTATATATTTGTGTTCCATCTTATTATATAAACTTTTATTCAATCTAAAACATTATTTCATATGAATTATTTGTTTTTGTTTGTATTCCATTTTATTATAAAATGAATTATTCAATTTAAAAATTTATGAGTACATTAAGTCAGTTGTTATTGTCATGTGTTGATTTTTAATTTTTCTGTTTTACTTATTGGTTAGGATGTTTTGTACATTTTAAAAGGTTGCTAATTTTCCTTACAATTCTATAATGATTAAATTTCTTGCAGAAAATGAAAATAGGAAATAAGGTTTACCTAAATAACATTGACCATATAGATGAAAAATCGCATATCAAGGTTCGGGTGCTTAAAATTTGGAACTTTGTCAGAAATAATAAAGTTTGTTCGATTGAAATGATCATCATGGATGAGGAGGTTTGTTGTATTTGATATATTTTTTATTCATCATTCAATATTAGACATGTTTCATGAACATAATAATTTTTAATTTTTTTTAAACAGGGTACACAATACCAAGCTCGTGTCTTCAATCAAAATTTCTCTAGATTTCGTCATCTTTTAAAGGAAGATGAAAGTTATATAGTTATAAAACCCAATATGGCTGCTATTACTAATGGTTTTAGTTATACAGGTCATAAACAGACCTTAACTTTGGATTGGAAAAGCACCCTAAAAAAATGTGATGATTTCTCGGGTCCAGTCAATGGATTTATGTTTGTTGACTTTAATTCTATCATAGAACAAACATGCCCAAAAGACACATTCTTTGGTTAGTCATAAAATATTAATAAAATCATTTTTTATCATTTGTTTTTTTGGTTATACATTTTATTATTTAAATATTACGAATTTAATCCTAAACTTTTTTTTGTGGTATCTGTTGTGTAGATGTTATTGGACATATCGTGTCATTTAGGCCTCTTGAAACTTCAAATCCAGTACCATCCAAGCATTATATAAAAGTCACTCTTAGCAACCTAGAGTGAGATTATATTTTATTATTTATTTATTATTTATTATCTTTAATTAATCACAAATTAATATTAATATACTATTTTATGGTTTATTTAGTTCTGTACATCTGAAGGTTATTATTTTTGGAAGTCAAGCATATCAAATTTCAGAATACCTAAAAAATAACCCGACGGTTAATTTTGTTGTTATCGTGATGCAGTTTTTGAAGCTAAACATTTGGAATGGTTTGTATTCAATCTTTATATATAGATGTTTATAATTACTGTTTTTATATAATTTTTATTAATTTGATATACATTTTTTACAGGTCTTGGTGAAGCTAAAAGTCATTTTGAAGTAACGAAATTATTCATAAATTCTGGCATTTATGAAATAAATGAGTTTAAAAATAAGTTAGTTTCCAATTGTTTTTTATTTTTTTATAATGTATTTTAACTTAAAAAAACACAAAACCTAATATTCATGAATCTAAATTAAACATTACAGGTTGAAATGTCATGACAATTTCGGTATAACTGAAAAAAGCATAACTACACTTCAAAGCTACTCTTCTTCATATACAGATGACTTTAAGGACAATTTTCCATTAAAAACAGTCTGTGAGATCACCGAACCAATTAAGGTACATTGCATTATTTGATATGTTTTACATTTTATTTTTGCATAATTTATTTTAATAATTTTTACATTTGATATGATACAGGAAATGAAGTTTTTATTAGTTGCTTCCATTGTTAATATAAGGCAGAATCTACCATGGTATTATGATGCATGCAAAAAATGTGGAAAAAAATTATCCCTGTTCCCAAAACCAATCATTCGTATACCAACCCTGAGGGAATTTCAGAAACTATGGTTGTCGAGTGTACAAATGCACAATGCAAAAAATCTGAATTTCAGTCAGTTATAAAGTATAGACATATTTATTTCTATTAATTTTGTCAATCTTAAAACAACACTAACAATGACATAATTTTTTTTGTTTTAGGTATATAATTCCAATTAACGTACAAGATTGTACTGGAACCATTGGATTGACTCTTTTTGATAGGGAAGCAAGGAGGTTGTTAAATATAAGTGCCTACAAGTTGAAAAAGATACATGATGCGGTATATTATTCATACCTTTAAAATCAGAAAACATTTACTTAATTTTTTTAATTTATTAAAATATATCTTATAGGTCGGAGACAGTGATGCCCTATTTCCAATGCAACTTAACGTGTTGAAAAACCGCAAGTTTGGTTTTGTTGTAGATATTACAGAATACAATGTCAACAACTATAATAACATCTACACAGTTCTCAGAGTTACAGAAGATATGTCCATTGTTTCTGAATTGGAAAGTAAAATAGAACTTATGGTATGTAATTTTTTATTGTTGAAAATTTACAATTCTTTAATGTTAAAGTACATAACGATTAACATATTTCCATTTTATTTTTTAGAGTATTCAATCTGTCTTCTTAAATCAAGTTGCTTTGGAATCCGATGATGTTGTACAACCTGTTCAAAAGGTTTTTCATTTTATTTTATAAACTTTTAATTATATTAGTTATTTTTTTTAGGAATTTAACAGTTTTTTTTTTTGTTTTTTTTTTTGTTTTTTTTTTTAAATTAGGATGTGATCTCACAAACAGACGAAAGTTTTACACCCTCAACAGTTGATAAGTCAACTGCAACAAGTCCAAGCAAAATATAAGGTGATTTGAAGCGCAACCTCCAAGAAATTTATGATGTTGATTCTGGATATGATTTAAGTTCAACTAAGGCTAAAAGAAAGTCAACCGCAGAGGAAACTCCACTCTTGATTCCAAAAATTGAAAAGTGAGTTTCTATCGGTTATAAGACACATTTAATATATTTTGATCATTTGTTTTGGTTATAAAGATATTTTGATTGCTTGGTATGATTTTTATTTTGGGGTATTTAGGATGTCAAATATTATTGGTTTTGAATATTTTTGGATACTTTTATTGTTTTAAATTGGACAAGTTAGTTGATTTTGGTTATAACTCAAATAAAATATATTTTGAAGTTTATTTGCTTGTAAATTTTTTTTTTATTTTTTCTTAATATTTTAAATTTTTGGCCGATATTGCATATGTGGTTATTATTGTTCAAATGTTAAAGCTATCTTGAGCTTGATACTTTGATACTTTTACAGGTGAAATTATATTGTGATTGAGGGTGCTTAATTTGTGCTTTATCTAATTTGTATTAAAAAAAAAAATGAAAACTTTGTTGATATTCCTCTTAAACTAAAAAATAACTACTCAATAGTCAATACTACAACATTTTACTTTCATTGGTTTCCCTTTAACCAGTGAAAATCATTATTATGTTATTTTTTAGAATGGAACATTCCCTTTATCGGCTGTTTACTTGATAATTTTTTTCATCATATTGATGAATCCTACTTTTTTTCATTTGTTACCATTTAAATCTTATGGTTATACCATTGTACTTTAAAATGTTTTTTGGTTTAATATTAATGGAACATTCCTTTAATGACAATGTACTTTCATTGGTTTCTATGTAACCTCTAAATATCATAAACTAGAGGGGGAGCCCCCGCGATGTGGGGGTCGGATGAAACCTTTTTGGTTTGTTGTTTTCTCTATGTTGAGGAGATAAAACAGATGCAAATGTGAATACATACATAATTGGTTTTTCTTATCTATATTTATGTTGAAGAGAGTTGGTAATGTGACAAAATTATCACTTTATATTGAAAAGCAAAAGGTACGGTTTAGTACCTGACAACGGAATAGACAATTTCCAGGAGAATAAAACTTCATAAACGTGCTTGACATGTGGTTTATTCTGTGTTTGCATTACGTTTTATATATGGAATGACAAAATAGACATAAACGATAGATTATATTTTTTAAAGGTGAATACAAGGCTTAACCATGCATCTAAGATGACAAAAGAGTTGGAGATTTTTTTGTTTTGTATCACTCCATATATGGCTGATCATCTTCTGGAAGTGTTTTGAGTAGTTTCCTGAGCTCCTGGATGGTTGTTTCAGTTTCCTTCTTTAGACTGTAAATCGCCATGATTCTTTTTGATGCCACGTACGTACTGTTGTTGATGACTTCCTTCATATCTAGGTAGTTGGTGTACTTTGGTCGGCGGCTCATGTTCTCCAGCACTTCGTTCTTCATCTCCTGGTTGAAGTAGTAATCGTTTTCGAGTTTTGTTAAAGCGACCAGCTCTTCCTCTGCCTGGCCAATCAGCATATGAATGATGCTTTCCATTTCAGCCGGTTTCATTTTGTGGGAGTGGTTTTGGCTTTTGGTTTTCCGATGGGTAGTTTGATTGGATGTGGGTTGTAGATGTTATGGGTTTGTGATTTATAAGAAGGTCGAAGCTGTTGAAAGGTGTAGAGGGGTATTAAATGCGATGCGAAAGGGCGAAGGGTTCTTGGTGTGTGTAACCGGCTGCAATCGATTGGTATGTCCAATCGTTGTAGGTGATGTAAGCCTATTTAGGATTGACGTGAGTTTTTAGATGTAGGAATGCTGATGTTTATCCGGTACATAATCTAAATTTTTTGTTAATTAAGAAATTTGAAAAGAAGATAATGCACAATTTGATTATTGGAAAAATGGTCTAACTAATTTTTATATTATATTTATACAAAGCTGTTGTAATCGATGTCTTCTTTATAAACAGGAACCCATAAAATGACACCCTGTTCTTTTTTAACCTCTTCATGTTTTGCTATATTTAAAAGTGGAAGATGTAAGTTAAGTTTTAAAATGTAGTTACCATTTATGTAATCTAGATACAAGATTTAAAAAATTACATTTAATAGAAACCAACTTCTATGTGATGTGTTCTTATTGTTTATTATTTATAATATTTATGTTGATTATTTTAAACATGGAACATTTATGTCTATTATTTAGAATAACTATTATTTTTGTCATGATAAATATGTTATTTTTAATAAATAATCAATAACCAATTGTAAACAAAATTTATATCTTTGATTCTCTTCAATTAATTCATACATTTTTGTAATGGTTGCAGCATATTTACTTATCTTCTGTAAATAACCTATATTCAATTTACTATTTCCTAATATTCTATACTCCATTTTTAGATCAAATTTGAATATTAAACTAATTTTTAGTTATAATCTTTTAAATTCCAAAAAATCAGGAAGAAAATTATATCTAATAAAGATCCAACAACAATAAAATCATAAAATCGTAATCTTTTTCCAATATTCAAGCATATAACTTTACCTCAAAACGTGAAATCCAAAATTTTTAAACACCTCATTCGTCTTCTTAATGTTCAATTGTTTCTGCGATTTTTTTTCATTAAGCTTACATCAAACTGCTTCATTAAAGTTGTAATTCTCATTCCAGTTCTACCTGCAAGATTTCCATATCCATATGTCAGGTTAGTATTATCAGTTTAGATCACTTTGTTTTCTCTATGAATTTATGGTTGAAATTTACAACAATAATCAATATGCTGGAATAGATGTTTTTCTAATTGTAAAAAAATAACCGGGAATAGATGTTTAAGATCAATAAGCAATTTATAATCATCACGATTATCGTGTATCACACAATTTTACCTTCATTGATTCCATAGAGATCTAGGGTTTTAACCCCTGATATCATCCGAACCCACGATTGGTTGAAATTGGGGAAACAGTAGATTTAAATCGAATAAACCCTAGGTTGGAAATGAGGATGATGAGTCATGATGCTCATCAGGGAAATAATTGATTGTGGAACAGCAAGAAGGAGAGTCTACCTTCGAATCGTATTTTTCAATCCTGACGGAGACCAATTCAGACGATTACACGGTATCGTAGATCTCCATGATTTTCTAGGTTCCCTTTCATGCGTTGTAGATTGCGATCGATTTAGGGGGAATCGAGGACAGTCATTGACTGCTGATCTTCGACGACCGTCTATGGAAGATTGGAGTCGTTGTATACAAACATCCAGACTTCTTTTGATGGAGTTATTTCTGCAACTACAACACAAGCTTCTGCTTCAAATCTTATTTTCGGACACATATCTACAATCCGACTCATGTTAACTTTAATATATTTATTTAAAGTCTCTTTTACACAATATAAACAAATATATTTTCTATTTATACTATTTAATATTTTTAAAATCTTCAATTTACTAATTTTTTAAAAATATATTATAAAAGAGTAAATTAATATTTGCAAATTTTGTTAAACATTTTAATAAACAAATTAATAAAGGTAACTTTTTAAATACATTTACTTTATTATCATTATTTATTTAATTCTAACTAACTTCAATTGTATTATATAAACATATTATGTACATAATTTCACATTTCATTTCCTAACCTATGTCTTCTTATGCAGAAAACAACAGTAACATGTACCACATGCAGGCCAGAGAGAAAAGAAGGCAAAGAAAAATATATTTGGAAAATAAAAGATCGAAGAAAATAAAAACAATATCAAATGTTCCAAGTATATCATTACAGCATCTCTTCAAAAATACTATTAACTATAACCATATTAGTATTTTATATTCCATCTTTTACTGTTATATAGTTGAATACATATATTTACAAGTTTTATAAGTTATTTCTATTTGCAGATCAATCAACCAACATTGTTCGTCAAACTCAAAATGTCAATTCATTTACAACACCTGCAAAGCATAACACAACCATACAATACTGTCCTTCCTTTACAGATGTTAGAACTCCATTTTCTAACATTACAAATGTTATAAATTCGTTATCTAACATTACAAATGGTAATTATTTATGGTTTTTAAAATATACTATTATCCATTATGTAAATATTTATTTATTTATTTAACTATTTTATTTTTATTTTATTCAGATAACATTGGTTTCGATAAATATATCACTTCCAAGTTAGCAAAGAAAAGACAGTACCATGTACTTTCAAATGATATGACATCAAAAAATGCATCTACAGTAACAACTTCTTCATCATCAATCAAGTTAAATCCAGGATGTCATAAATTAAAAACGAAGACAAGACATTTATCCCCTATCCCATTGATTGATTTGACAGAAGATGTAGAAAATATACATCAAGTGAACAATGAAAATCGTATAGTTGGTATCTCAAATGGTAATGAAAAAATAAAATACATTTTACATTTCAGATACTATGTTCTATATAATTATAAAATTCATTGATATTTTATTCAACGCTTTTATTTTACAGAATATTTGGATCATGGTGATCAAGATGTTGTATGTCAAACATGTCGTGCAAAGTTATGGAGAAATGAATCCATTAGAGGTAAAGAAAATGGGAACACGGATTATTCATTATGTTGTGGTTACGGCAAAGTTCAACTTCCAGACTTAAAGAATGCACCCCCTACTTATGAAAGAATGTTTCGAAATATGGATTCAAAAAACAAACACTTCATGAAAAACATTCAACGTTACAATTCAATGTTTTCTTTCACGTCGATGGGTGGTAAAATTGACTCTTCAATCAATAGAGGAAACGCTCCTTACATTTTCAGATTGGGTGGTCAAAATTATCATAGTATTGGAAGTCTTTTGCCAGCAAAAGGATCGGAACCAAAATTCTCTCAGTTATACATTTATGACACTGACAACGAAATTACAAATAGACAAAGATGTTTTCGGTATTTTCTCAAACTTCTTATTCATAATCTATTATTATTATTA